ACCGAACCTCGGCGTTGAGTCGGGCCGCGCTGAGGTTAGCGTCTTGGCATCATCTGATCGCACGCCAACATCTTGGCCCACGAAGCGTAGTTGGCCCGCCTGGGCCGCGCGCCGGATGGTGCCAAGAGCTCGGCGTGACTCCCCACCGCGCCGAAGTTAGGCCTGTGGCGTTGGCTGACACGACGCCGACGTACTGGGCCCCATGCGCCAGCCCCGGAGTCGTCGGTGACGTGGCAAGGACTCGGCGTCGTGTCAGTCGACGCCGACCTTCATACATCGGCGTGATTTCCTAAGACGCTTAAAAATGGTCTATTTGTAGCAAAAGTTTTGGCAGAGGTCTTTTTGTAAAAAATGTTTTAAAAAGGAACCAAAATGCAAAAATTTCACTTTTATCGGTGAGGAGACAAACATTTGATCTTCAACCATACTTCTTTTATTATATAAGAATACAACTAAGGGAATGTAGTTGTACAATTACGTCTCAAAAGGACTTGTCTTCAACAGATATTCCAGTCTCACTTAGTTGTGTGCATGAACTGGCGGTGGTAGCAATTGGTGGTTGTGTATGAGAGCCTCGTAGAAGGCTCATCGCAATCGCCATGTATACAGTTCTGAAGGATGCAGACCATCCCATGATCCATGCGTTTCTGGGTTATGACATAATTTGTATTCTCCACGTCCACATCTTACATCCTGGGACACACCATAGCGTCCTCCTCCACCACAACAAGCCACCAAGGGATATTCGATTCCTGAACCTCAATCGTTACAATGTTAACCACAATGTAAGTATGAAAGTAAATTTTTAGGAAACATATGATTTATCTTAATTTCTAATAAGGTTCTAAACAGTATCCACTGAAACCAACTAATCTGTTAACCTAGAGCTCAATGCAAGTGGCATGATGCTAATACTATTGATATCATATATATACTATGATTGCATCAGAGATATAAGATAAAAACTTTTAGACTACTTTATCTTATATCCCAAATTAAATGCAATTGGTCATTTCACTTTCTACTATGAAATGTTGTGAGCTGAATTATTTTTGAAACATCTGTGGAGACGGTCAAAAATTATTTTAGAGGCCTGTACTATGTTTTTTGTCAAAAAAGTAAAAGAGATATATTTGAACTCACCGTATTGTTGCGGGGAAACAAAAACCTCCATAGCGGCTCCATAGTAATCAGCATAGATGATGGTCACGCGAGGATGGAGCTTACGCAACTTCTCCAATTCCTCGATGAGAAGCTTGTTATGATACCGTGCAAACTCGTTCAGCCATTTAACGCAACCTGTCCCTGGCTCGTAATCTTCTTTCTCGTCACTCTGGAATGCCAACAGATACACTGGGATGCATCCAATCGGGAGATTCCCTGGAACCACCAGAGTCTTGGCTCCTAGCCTGATCAACTCCTGAAAAAATCGGATGCATTTGCACTGCTATCTGTACAATGTTAGTGATAATGTACGATGGATATAGAAAACAAATACTACTCACTGTGATAGATGAAGAGATTTTGGCTTAACAGCTGGAGCGAAAGTGAGAACATTCTCAAATGGAACTCTTTCCAGAAGGGGTAGGTTGTAGTTATTGCCTCCAATTTCTCCAACTATGAAAAGGGATTGGTTCAATCATGTCCGAGCAACCTGTGCAATATCAACATGGCTCTGTTTTCTGAATTAGTACCAAAGAGGAACTATGATCGGTTGATGGTGAGGTTACTGAGATTTTCTTAAGCATAGGTCACATCTATACCAGTTGAATCAACAACTAGTTGTACCTCATATGAATATGTCCATATATCATACTGGTTTTGTGTTCATCAAATGCTCACGGCAAGAAAAGAAACGTTAGCCAGTTCCCGCTGACTTCTGAATTATGATCCCACTAAAACAAGAGTTCATCATACGCTACAAAAATATCTGCAGCTGATGCTCACGGCAAGAAACAGTGACATACCTGAGAGTGAGAGGTCGGCGGGGCAGAGGAGGCTGAGCATGTCCCGGAACCACTCCAGCTCCATATCGAGGTGCACTACGTCGCCGACGTCAAAACCCCTGTCCCGGAAGAAGTCCGGGGCGAGCGCCGTGGCGCGATCCACCGCGAAGTTGGCCCCGTGCAAGAAGTCCTCGGCGCGCCGCCCGCTCAGGTAGGGCGGCACGAACGGAAGCCCCAGCGCATCAGCTGCAGATTTATTTTGAATGAGCCACAAAAATCAGAACCACCACTACTCCAAAATCGAAATTGGTCAGTGGATGGATAGCAGGGGTATTTGTGGTTGTGGCTGGCCCTGGCTGGCGTACCGATGAAGTCGAGGACGATGCGGCCGTCGGTGAAGCGGCCGCTGGCGCGGTGGAAGAAGGTCTCGCCGTAGGGGAGCCGGAGCACGGGGTCGGAGTCGTCGTCGCTGTAGACGAACAGGAAGTTGCCCGTGTCCGCCAACAAGTCGCCGAAGCTGAACACGCGCGTGTAGCATGCGGACGCCGCCGCTGCCCTTTTTTTTCTTTTTTACCAAGTCATGCCTATAAATGTCCTTGCAGCACGAAGTTAGCCCATGCAAGAAGTCCTCGGCGCGCCGCCCGCTCGGGCGGCACGAACTGAAGCCCCAGCGCATCAGCTGCAGATTTATTTTGAATGAACCACGATGGCTGGTGGATCAAATTGACTGGTGGATGGATAGCAGTAGCAGGGGGCATTGTGGCTGATGGCGTACGTACCGATGAAGTCGAGGACGATGCGGCCATCGGTGAAGCGGCCGGTGGCGAGGGTGGAAGAAGGTCTCGCCGTAGGGGAGCCGGAGCACGGGATGTAAGATCTGAAACATTTCAATAGCAGAGTTTATAGAGATTGCATAAAAGCACAACCATATGACAATGAGTATTAAAGTAAATAAGCAACCAATAGGTTGTTTACTTAGCAGCAAGTATACTACATGGATGCTCTTAGAATTTCAAAAAAACATACACACATAGGAATTCAATGCAATCAATAAAGCTATTAGTTCTATTGAATTCAGATCACATGAATTGTTCCCAAAATATTTGAGTTAAGTCTATATTGTAATCTTTGGCTAGTCTGGCCTTAATATGGGATTTAATCATCATCGAGCAATCATATCCTACCAACATTGCAATTCATCTCTTACACTACAATAAATAAAGTGCCCAGAATAGAATTGCAACAAGTACGGAAGAGAGTTAAATCGATCTTACATCCGGTGTAGACGAAGTAGTCACAAGGCAAGGCACGCTAAGGCGTTGCCCAAAAAAAACAGATTCACCTCCTCTATTGCTGAGGTCGCGAGGTGATGTTTCCGGAGATACAATGCCGTTGCACAAATCACAGGGCACATTGTGACCTACGCCCGAGGCACAGTAGGATGCTGCAGCAGCAAGAAGCCCTCACGCACGTGGTGCGGTAACCGGCAAGGCAACACAGAACCGGCAACGTGCGTAGACACGTTCACAACCGGCCTCCGCACTGTGGTCTGCCGCGATGTTCAGTTTACAGAACCAGACACCACAGCACTCCATGATCGCCGACGCAAGTAGCAGCCTGCTTCCCGGTTCGTCGGAGTAGCCGCCGGCGGAGCCCCACACGATCGACCACACCTCCGCAAGGGCCAAGGGAGGCACGGGATGGCAACACGGGTGCTACCACACCAGTGGATTTCTCTTGGGTCAAACAAGCAGGATGAACACTCGACGAATCCTCAGTCACCAGAGTTTTCAGAGGTGGAAGATGAGTTTTTTTTTCTTCTGCGTACTAGGAAGAGGAGCTCCCGGTCTGTTTTATCGGATCAGCTGAGGGAGAGGCGAGCGCCACCACCCTCCGCAGCTTTCGCACACGCACGCGCATGCGCAGACTGCGTCACGCCCGGGAAGGGCAGAGTGGCAGGCGAGCGCCGCCGCTCGTCCGACAGTCCGAGCGAGCGAGCCCTCTGCCCCTTCCTCTGCTCTCCCGATGGGGAGATGCACTGCCGGCTGGGCTGCACAAACCGTGGGCCAAGTTGTGGCCCAGCACGATGAGCCCTTCTTGTTTTTTTAAAAAAAATTGGAATTTATTTTATTTTAAATCTGAACACAAATTTAAATAAGAAATTCAGGGAAAACCCCCTCTAATTTCCAACAAATATTTCCCTTAATTTAGCAGAATTGCTGACGCTGGTTGGTGATGCGTCGGTGGCATCATCGGTATGGACCCAGACGATGGATGCATCGAGTCCGCCCCTTGCCGACGACCGGGGAGCGCCACCGCCGACCTCGCCGTCGGCCATCAACAAAGTACGCAGTTCAGCGGGAAAAAAATGTGAACAAACTGATGCCGTGCTATAGGGATTAGGGATCTAATGGCATGTGACGTGCTATACTATGCACAGATGTAAAGCATTAAGCATGTATCGATGGTGAAGTACTGATAACATACGTACTATGCACAACGTACTTGAAACTTTCAAAGGCCTAAAACATAGTACAATGCTACCACCACCACCACAGCAAAGTTCAGCATCGATAAATCCATGTGGCAGAGAAAAGAAAAGGCATGGAAAGACCACTTCTCGAACCACCACACGTTAACAGCTTTCATCACCGAAACAAATTTATTGACTGTTACAAATACATTCAAAGTTTCAGCACAAAGGTGTCCTTCACCGAAGCAAATTTATTGTTGTTTTGGAAAAGCAGACTTCACAGGTTACGCTGCTATGTACAATTGTGTGGTCACAGAACAGTCAGACGTGATTCCAAGATATAAGGAAGCTGGGTCTGTCTAAGCCAAACCAACAGCGAAGCAATATAGGATGGGTTTGATTGACACAATCTGCAAGCTACCAAATAACTAGAAATAAAGAATCCACACTGGGGTGCAGCATATCACATAGCATCAAGGCTGTTGTTTGTTGCTTTTGATGCCTCTACCTGAGATCATTACTGAAGCTGCTATATCAATAGGGTCTTGGTGGATAAGTACCAGGGTAAGGTGCTGCAAAGATCAAACGAGGCAAAGGGAGGTGATCCAGTTAGAACACTGACTGATATCATGAAAAAGAATGGATTTATCTCTGCTCAATTGCATCTCACCAGGTGGATACAGGGACTGTGCTGCCGGCGGGGGCGGGTATGGTTGTTGCCCATATGGTTGCGGTGGGTAAGATTGCTCATATGGTTGCGGTGGATAGGATGGAGGGTATCCAGCGGGTGGGGGTTGGTATGGTTGCTGCGGAGGTGGTGGATATTCTGCAGTGGTATATGGTGCATGGCTAGGAGTAGGGTAAGCAGGGTATGCGGCTGCAGCAGGATACGCTGAAACAGGTGGATATGAAGGTGTGACTCCTGTGTATGGAATCGCTGATGCTAGTGCTGGTGCTGGAGCAGGGGCTGGGGCAGGGGCAGGGGCCGGAGCTGGAGCTGGGGTTGGGACTGGCATTGAAAGTGCTGGAACAGGATGTGCACTTGGTGCGGCGACACTTCTACCCATCTTGTTCTTCTGTCAGACACAATAGAATCAGGCACAAGACAGGGCTAAGAAAACAACAAAGAATAGTAATCAGTCTCTCACCATTGCTGAGACATCAACATGCATAATGAGCTTCACTTCCCCAGCAGATCTGAAAATTTCCCACTGTCAGAAAGTTCACGAGACCAGTGCACTCAAGTTATATGAGATAGGAATACCTCATGTGGCGTGTTTGAAGTGGCCATGAGGAGTCATCATAGCCATTTGTGAGCACCTTGTGCAGATATACTCTACACAAAAGCACAGCCGAAAGGTTACTCACTAAAAAGTAGAAGCCATTTACCATATTGATGATGAATGGTAAGAGCCACAAACCTGCCACTGCCAACGAAGTCATCATGGGTTAATGTGTTGCTGTTCCATACGATAACATTCAACTCGCGGAGTCCTTCAATGAGGGGTATATGGAACTTCTCATCGAAAGTTGGGTTTCTTCCCCCATCTAGCATCAATATCACATTTTAGGTTGAAGAAAGGAGAAATATACTAAGAGATCACAAAGGGGAAATTATCATAAATTTAACCTTATATAATTAGCAAATTTCTGTAGAAACCTGATTGTACAGAAAACTCTTAGGTTGCGTTAGGATGTAGACATTGAGGCTCTGGAATTGGCATTGGTATTGGTAGCACCAAATGCCGCTGTTTGGATGTCTTAGGTATTGGAATTGGAAATCACCTTCAATGACAAGAGGTATTGGCTACAATTGCACCCAGTCACCCCCAATACAGAGCCTGCACCCTCCGTATTGGGCGGAATTGGAGATGAGCGCATCCGTGACCGGGGTCGAGCGAGCGGTCATGAAGGCGGGCTCCTCCATGGCCGGCGGGGTCGAGCTCCCCCATGGTCGGGCCAGGGCTGAGCTCCTCCGTGGTCGAGCTCCTCCCCAACCAGTGCAAGCGGTCATGGAGGTGGGCTCCATGGCCGGCAGGGTTGAGCTCCCCCATGGCTGGTAGGGTCGAGCTCCCCTATGGCCGGACCGGGGCCGAGCTCCTCCATGGCCGAGATCCTCCCCATCCGACGCGAGCTCCCCTTCTTCCCCATGGCCGGCGGCGCACCTCCCCTTCTTCTTCCCCATGGCCGGCGGCGCACCTCCCCTTCTTCCCCATGGCCGGCGACGCGAGCTCCGTTTCTGTTCCCCATGGCCGATGGCCCCACGCCCAACGGCGCGGCACACCACCACACCCGCCGGGGCCAGGCCCAGGGCCGTGGCCACCTCCGCCTCCGTGCCCGAGCTCGTCGCGGCCGAGGTTGGGGCCGCCTTCGCGCCCGAGCTCGTCGCAGCCGGGGCCGGGGCCGGGGCCGCCTCCGCCTCCCCCTGCGTGCTCGAAGCCGAGGCCGGGGCCGGGGCCACCTCCGCCTCCACCTGCGAGTGCCCATGGCTGGGGCCAAGGCCGCCTCCACCTCTGCGCTCGAGGTCGTCGTGCGAGCGGTGGGGATTGGGGAAGAAGACAGTGAATTCCTGGAGGTGTACATCCAAACATGAAATGGTATTTGATGTGTCACTCGATTCCAGCTAGCAAATTCATCTACATCCAAACAACAGATTTGGTATTTAGTCCATTTCCAATACTAGCCTGATTTGGTAATGGTACCAATTCAATTCCAGAGTCTCCAATATCTACATCCAAACGGACCCTTAGTTTCTGGAGGTAAATAATTGGTGAAATGAACGTATCATCAATGTTCATAATGTGTGGAAACTTCCTTGCTTAGAGTTCGAGAAGCGATTGATCTCGTCCATTAGTAGATAAGTAAGAACCTTATTTGATGCTGGAACCAATTAAAGTATTATGTCTCAGTGTTCAGAAAAGTTCAGTGCCACGGCAGACAGTTGAATACCCAAGACTGTATTACGAGGCTTTTATAACAATACTTGGTAAATCAATGAGGTTTTGATTGAAGAATCCTGGTTGCAACAAGCTGGTGAAAGTTAAAACAGTTCTAGGTCCACTCCTATTGATGACCGTCCTCTGCCCCAGCACTCAGCTTTTATTCACCTAGAGTTTTAGGAGCTGCCTTTTCACGAAGAAATAATCGAAATCAAGTTTGTGCTAATTGCTCATAAATTTGTACAGCCCAAGATGAATTGGCAATGACCAGACAGAGAATGGTGGTCCATTCAAGTTCCAAAGCAAATTGAAAGCATAATCTACATAAATTTCTCTACTTCCTTCTTTACTGTTAAGTGCGCAAATGCAATTAGTCTCTCAAAACCTTGGAATCACAACCCAGTCATATAGCTAGATTCCACATAGTAGACACAAGGAAAAAAAAGGAACAAGCACTTTTAGTACCCAAAGTAAGTGATTTAGTTGCAGCAGGGTATGTTCATGTTTTCACATTAGTTGTCAGCCATTAATGATTAAAAAAGATTAACACAAACAAAATGGCGTGAGTGGTACTTGTTCCAACATATTTTAGTCCTAAACGAACGAAAGTCAAGCATAATATGCTGATTGGAAGGTCCCAAGATTCCACTAGGGGCATATAGAGTATCGACCGCATACATAAATCAGGCATAAAGACACTATGCAAAGTTAGAAAGAATCAGCCCAGCTGGTCGGCTGGCGGTGTCTGTATCTAAGCTGTGTACCATCAGCGGTATTCGTTCATTACCTATGGGACAAAGCACATTAGCTGTGAATACTCGCATTAGTAGCAGCGGGGTATGTTCATGTTTTCACGGTAGTTATTAGCCATTAATGATTAAAAAAGATTACACAAACAAAATGGCATGAGTGGTACTTGTTCCAACATAATTTAGTCCTAAATGAACGAAAGTCAAGCATAATATGCTGATTGGAAGGTGCCAAGATTCCACTAGGGGCATCTAGAGTATCGACCACATACATAAATTAGGCATAAAGGCATTATGCAAAGTTGGAAAGAATCAGCCCAGCTGGTCGGCTGGCGTTGTCGGTATCTAAGCTGTGTACCCTCAGTGGTATTCGTTCGCGTATTAGTCATTACCTATGGGCCAAAGCACATTAGCTGTGGGTTCTCCCATTAGTTGTTGTTTTCCTTTGCCGTCTCTTATGTGACCGTTTGTTTTGGCTGTCTTGCTAATGGTTTTCTAGCGCCTTTGTTCCCTGATTTCTTTCTCTTTTTCTTACCGAGTCTTACAGAGTGAGCAACAAGGTAGGAAGGAGCAAACCCCACATCGAGATGAACGAGAAGCGGCGGCAGCTGGGCCATTCACCTACCGACCTAATAGGTCGTTAATACCGAGAGTTTGCCCAATGGCTGAAGCCAAATAAACCTAGCGAACCTTGAACGAGTATGTCCTAAACGTTTAATCAACATCGTAGGCCGGCGAATTCCCTCCCTCTTCACTGTGTGAATTGGGATGGGTTGGTGGGTATGCGAAATTGTCTGACGCCGGTTCGATGTCGACATGTTATATAATAACAAAAAGAAAACAAATTAAGCAGTGCACGCAAGTCGCAAACAAACTGGTGCCATTAGTTAGTAGTTTAGTACAGCGAAGACCCGGAGCGGCCGAGGGGGGAGGAAGGGGGGATTACGGACCGGTGCAGGTGCGGGTGCGGAGCTTGGTGGTGGCGTACTCGAGGACGACGTAGGGGTCCTGGCGGGTGAAGAACTCCGTGTCCCGCAGCTTCCGGCACCCGGTGACTGCATTACATGAGGAAAAATCAAAATTCAGCTACCAGTAGGGACGAGAGAGACGGATTGGGGAGGAGGGGGAGGCAAGGCACCTCTGACTTCGAGTATCAGCCCATGGATTGACATGTGGAGGTGACCGGAGTGGGGACTGGGGAGGGAGCAGGAGCGGGCGGGAGCCGGGAGGAGAAGAGGGATCTCGTCTGGGAAGGAGACCGTGGAGGGAGCGGGGGTCTGATGTTGATGCGACGGTTGCACGATGAGTCGGTCGATGACGATGATCTCGGCCCGGTAACCTGCCTGCTGGTGCCGTCTTTATATTGGTTGGATATTGGAGTCCTGTGGGCTGGGCTGGGGCTGGGGCTGCTTGACCAAGTTATTTGCGTCGTACTCTAATTGAGTCGTCTTCTTTGATAAGGTTAGACCTACTATACTATTTATATAGTTTATAAGCAACTCCAAAATCTTTTTATATCTTTTCTTATGGTTAGGAATAAAAAAAATTCGGTCAACAGTTTTTTAATTAGATTTTTAAATATTATCATTCTCTATTCTAAATTTTTCACTAGCTAAAGATAAATAGCAATGTTTGGGCACCGTTTGATAGGACTTCTCTCCGGCTTCAGCTCCTACGAAAGAGCCCTACCAAACGGTTTAGTAGAAGGAGTTGTTTAAAGTTATTTTTCATTGAAAAAAGAGGAGCAAGAGCCATTTTGAAAGGAGCCACAAATTATAGCCCCTCCAAAACGGTTTCGGCAACTTCTAAAGAGCCTTGAGGAGAGGCTCTACCAAACACGGTCTAGATCTTTAGGGTCCACACAAGATATAAAGAAGTTGTTGGAAGATAGAAAAATATAAAGAACGATTTTTATTTAAATAACTTTTCAAATGGTGATTTAGAATGGGTTTAAAAATAATTTTTTGGAAATACTCGGAAATACACTTAAATTGCGTGTTTGCGTTCCACGTCTTGTCGTGTCGTGAACTACTAAAACACGATGAATGTTCCCATAACTTAGAGCAACGGCTACCTCGTAAGCACCGTGTTGCCCAAGTTGACCTTTTTTTTTTGAAGAATCCAATTTGACTATTTTAGAGGGGGGAAATCATTACAACAGAGTTGACGTCCGTTCTCTAAAAATTCTCACTTGCTATCACGAATACAGACATATTGGCTAGAGCATCTCCAAGAGATGTTCTATAGCTCTCCTTGATTTTTGATTTAGCTATTTACATGTGGGCCTCCAACAGCCTCTTCATCTACTTCTCCAGCTTTTCCAATCCTTCATCCCGCAATTTTCGCTCGCAAGAAAAGGCGAGTTCCGTCGCTCGCCATCTAGGGTAGCTCCTCCCTTCCCGCACACCCTATCTCCTGCACGTTGCTCTTCCTTTCCCTCACACCCTATCTGCTGCGCACGTCACTCCTCCCGCGCTCCGCCCCTTCATGCGCCGCCCTATCTTATGTGTTCGACTCTTCCTTGAGGTCAACTCTGAGGAGGTCATAGCCGCCGGCAACCCTAGCCAGACGGAGCCCCCCTTGGTTGGCTGAAACTTTCCTTGACGGACGAATGGTGTATATAGTACGTAGTATATATTTAATATATTGAAATAAAATTTAAAAGTCTATATACTTTGCATAAGTCTAGCAATTAGAAATTAGCTTCTCCATTAATATAATTGATCGTAACAGTGAGTATATTGATTGTCGTAAATTACCTAGCAATAGCAGGAGCAGTGTTCGATCATGGCTCCGTTGCTCGTTCTGCACGTAATAATGATGACGCACGTGATCGATGCTTCATAAACGGCTTTCTCACGGAAGCATGTGTAGACAAACGCGTGGTGCCTCGAGGCAATTTTAACAGTACTCACAAACGCGGCAGGACTGACCGTTTTTTTTTTTTGAAACGGTCGGAACTTGTATTGATAAAGAAGGGGGCAGGACTGACCGTTGCCCAGCGTTTTTTTCTTTTTGTTCATTTTTTTAATTAGAAAAACAGGAAGGTTTTCAAGAGAGCCACACGACCACACCACAGGGTACAGTCTTGGCCCTGTTCAATTTGATTAGTCTTTGATCTTTGGTGTTGGTTTTTTTAGAGAAAAATCTTTGTTAATTTGGTTGGTTTGAAACCAAACCAATAATGTCAATGAACAGTGCGCTTGGCTAATACTAATAATGCTGGCTAATACTAATAATGCAGGAGTGCAGGACTCTACGTAGGTCAAGCCGCGTCTCATGTGCAACAAACCGTTGGCAATTGCGCTCCATGTTCTCAGATGCCTGAAGACGTACCGATTTCACATGCATGGCCCAAATCTAGCTCCAGCTGCTACTTCGTTCGATCGCCATTGCCGCCGCGCTTCGCTTTACAGCGCCCACGGCAGCGCAGAGACGTCTCCAACTATCCAGCACCAACCCAACCTGCATCCATCCTTCCAAGTTCCAAATGTATGCACGTGTGTTTGTAAAGGATGCTCAACTTGCACCGCATGTTCGTGCCCACTGCCGTTGCGAACTTGCAATGCTCTCGACGAGGCTCGGATTATCGATGAGGATCAGATGATTGACCAGAATCGATTCCTAAGTCACAGAGAATCCAAACGCACCTTGGCTGTTGGGCGGAATAAATTCGTGCAAACCGCGGGAACCAACGGACCACACGTCTTCAGCGGGTGAGCCGTTGTATCCATTGGCGAATGGTGGCGAGTGGCCACCAATCGATGGATCCACCACAGAGCTGGAGCCTGGAGGTGGAGGTGCTGCCTGACTGTGGGCCTATGGCGAGCGTCGCAGTCGCAGGTTCGACGACTGCCTTGGTGTCTTCCCCAGGTCAACAAGGTCGAGGTCTTTCGTTAAAAAAAAAATGGAAACAAGGTCTAGGTCGCAGGCAATCCCAATACCCTTTGGACGGGCGAGTAGTATTTGCAAAGCAATTCAACAAAGCTTTCAGACAAGCCCCCTAAACTAAAATTTAAAAAGTCAGCTAAAAAAATTCAGTTCCACCAAGCTCCCTACCTGTTCGGGAGGCCATATCGTATTGTGGATTATTTACTGCTGACTGGTTTGGTGTGAGAGAAAAACACTATTCTCGGCTGGAAATTTACGATCGTTTACGAACAAGCGAACGGGCTGAGCAACCTCTCAAATCGCACCCGGTCCTCGTTCTCACGGACATCAATCGTGGCCTATCGGTTGGTTCGCCGTTCTCTTGCTCCCGCGTCCACACTTCCCTTCCCTCGGGCAGCCCCGGCTCAAATCCTGCAGCTTCCTCCTCCTCTTCCCTTCTTGTTGTGCCCTTGACGCGACCGCTCCTCCCTCCAGCGCCCCTCTCTTGATCGTGTCACCCCTTGTCAACATCCTGTCGAAGGAGCAGGGCGCGGGCGGTACCAGGAGCGACAAGAGGGTAACAAGTGAGGTCGTCGGTCCGGTGCGGCTGCTTCTCGGCGTGGCTCCTCCTAGCGTCTGGGATCTACCGGCGAGATCTGCGTAGTTCATAGCTCAGTTGATTAGATTGACGAGTGGATCTTGTATGTCATTGTCTACTTGAATAAATTTGAGGGATTTGATTTGAGACCTACTGTTAGAGTAGATGTAAAAAAACCTAAGCCCTCAAAAATAGGAGGAACTCTCAAATTAAAAGTAGAGAGGCCTGATTTGAGAGCTTCTACTGGATTTACTCTATGCATGTTTTGGTTTTGTACCCATACAAGGTTATCTAGCTCAAAAGGTATAATCTCACGCGTTCTTGTTATCGGAAAAAAGATCTCAAGCGTTCTTGGGACTCTAATTAAATAAACGGGTACATACTTCGCTTGCTTCCCTAGCTCCCTTAGTTAGGGTTTTCTCAGTGAATCCGTTCTATTTGTGTCTTATATTCTGTATTACTATAATCTACTGTCTATGGTCGGCCGCCCATGTTCCTCGACAAACACGTAATGGAAATTCTAGATTTCTGGTGTTGTACGAAGGACTGAAAATTTAGGACAGAGACAAACCGAGCAGCTTCGGTTGCTTGATGTAGCTGTTAATCATGCCGAGGTGAGAGTGTTTTTAGCACCCCTCTTACCTCAGTTCTGACTCTTAACCTAAATTGAAATTTTTTAGTATAAGGGCACTCCCAATGAAGAAACCATCATAGTTTTTATGGACATTAATTATACTTCAACCTAAGCGTTTTATTGATGCGACAATGTAGTTATTGAAGAGAGAGAACAAAAATCATAGAAACCGGGTCTAAGTTAGAAACCATGTCTACACGAGAACCAAAACATGAAGGGATGCGATTGGTAGAGAATTGAGAGAGAATGTATGTGATTGGGTAAAAAATTGTTATGTAGAAACTATCTATTAGGACTATAGTTTCTATATATATATATAGTGTCTATTAAAATTAATAGGTATAGAAACTATATGTAGTTTTTAGCATTGGGACTGCCCTAAGCACACATCGCAGATAGATTAGCCCGGGCTAAGTCCGCCATTACGTGCTGTGAGTATTACTAATATAATCCAGGTACATTTTGGTTGGGGAAGGGAGATGGACCTCCTGCACCTCGTCCATTTGATTGATGGTCTGATCCTCACAAGTCACAATGCGTTGGCAACTACGTGGAACTAGGAAGAGACATAAGAACCAATGGTGAAAGTTTATAGGGAAAACAATGTGGAAATTTGATTTTAGTTACGATCACTTGTCTGATTCATGGACGTAAATAAAAAGGGAGGTTGAAGAGAAAATACATCTCTCGTCTAGTGAAAATTTATAAGATAAGTCATGATGAACTATGAAGGTACATTTAAAATATCCTGTTTAGAGGCGAGTTTTTATTTTATTTTTAAGTAAAAAAAGGTAGTATAGGTCATAACGAACTATAAAGATACATTCATATTCCACTAAAAATACGATTCCCACTCAATTACCCGCCATTTCCCTAGGAATTGATTGGTAGCAGATACATTCATGTTCCACTAAACATACAATTCCAACTCAATATTACCCGTCATTTCCCTAGGAAGTGATTGGTAGCAGGGAGTTGACCCTCTTCCCTTCCCACCAAAACTTCTATTATCAAAACAAACAAAATACTTTTAAACTTCTAGCTCAGAAATCCTTTTCCTGCTTTCAATT